TTGCGCGTCGTGGTAATCGGTGTTCAGGCATACGCAACTACATATCTAGAAATACTTTCGAACTTGAAGGAGATAAATTAACATATGGTCCTTGGTACTTGTTAATGTGTCAGAAAACAAGTGTATTTACATCTGTGCATTTTTGCACATTATGTAAGCATAACTCCACTGTGCAGTAGTCGCAAGAATGCTGAATATAATCAGATGATTAATGTGGCTCAATCGGGAACCGTTTGATGTAAACAATTCTTAATTATTGACTAATCATAAATGTACCAAATAGACATCAGTCAGGACAGTAATAGGAGAAAATCCCTCTATCTAACCGATTTTGAAGATTCCCTTCTTATCACTGACTCAAAGTGAGAAGTTTCTTGTCGGATTTGCCAAAATTAAAAATAAGAAAGTCGAACTGAACGCAATGGTTAACGTTACCTTTATGATTAAAGACAGAAAGAAACATAAGTGAACTAATTTAGATTGAAAAATGAATTCGTCGTCGGCCACAAGTGTACCTTCATAATGTAATAGCTAAATACGGTACAGCTAATTGACGACAGTGATGTTTTGACACTGTCTAAACGAACGTCACAACCATCGCGATATTTGCTCTTAAGAATGGACAGTGAACTCGCATACAATAAGCAATTGAATGCAGAGTGAAATACTAACGAAGTGAAACCAAACATTAAGAACATAAGTTATAGTATCAGTAGCAAACATGTTTGCAGGAAAACAAATATACCTGATGAATCATTATAAATTTAGGGGGAATTTTCAGATGAATCGTCAGGTTTCCTACTCTAACGTGATTGGTGAATAGCCTTTCAATGTTTGCTGAGATCTGAAACATTTTCAATATTAAGAACAACTAGGAAATACTTTGAATTTCCTACACGTATTTGAGGAAGATTCATTGATGAAAATAATGACATCTCCATTTTCATCGCAAAGCGATAAGACACCTTGTCTAGGTTTACACCTACTTCGATGACAGGTCTCTAAATCCGAAACCAACACCTTTGAGCATATTCTCATTACCGCCAATTCCGAAGTATCAGATATGTGGTGTATGGAAACAATGTTTACACACTATATTAGCTTCAACCTTGCCCATTGGGAATAACGAGCTGTTTTAGTTGGAATCCGCATTTCGGTATAACAAAAACATTCCTAATGATGGAAACGTATGTTCCTTGTTATGTTTTTGTGAAACGAAATACGTTATCTACTCTCAATATTCACTAAGTGCGTTTAATCCTGTATTTTTCTACACTTTAGCGGCTGAGTACATCATGTAAGAATGCAATTTTTACAATGTCTGTATATTTCGTACAGTATGTTAGGATGAGCAACACTCGTATGCTCAAAACTGACAAATAGGCATAACTTGAAATGAAAACTTAAATAGGGATTACAGATTTATGTGCACACAACTAGTAAATTTGACGAGAACCGCGCCAAAATACTGTACACCACATCCTTATTTATCAGTAAAAAACGGGTGCATCGATACCTATAAGGCAAAATAAATATCATGCTCTCTTTCGAGAGATTCGACAGAAAATGCCTTCAGCAAAACTCACACTATTTTTTTGAGAAAATCGCTGACTCTAACCATGGAATAGTTTGTATATATATTTTTTGTGAAGTGTTCTATCATAAAATTGAGGAGGAATCGAGGTCCAGATGCGTTAACATTGATATATCGCCAAGTTTTTTCAACTCATTGATAACCTTTATAGTCTCAGAATTTTGACATCGAATTTACACGTAACGCTTTCATAATGGAAGGATACCAACCTAGTCAAATCAGAAGTCAGGTAAGAATGAGTTCGAAGATATATTTTAAGGGTTTTCGATTTGTTCAGTAGCATTTGATATAAGCTGACTAGTACTTACAATAGATACGTAGCACGGTATACATACTCGTGATGTGGTGTGAATGCGTGACCGGGTGCCCTCAGTCAGTATGTGTCCAGTAAAATTAATGAGGTCGGCATTAACGTTGTGGACTTACAGAACTATTTATTTTTCGGATTTATTTGCCGACGCAGCTCACCGCACCTCGTGGGGTAGTGATGACCGTAAGATGTAGATAGGCAGAAGTTTAAACTAAACGAGCTTGCAATCGGTGAACACTATTTGGATAGCTTGCAGTCGATGAAAACTTCTGACAGCTTGCTATGTTTAACAGCATAGGGTCGTCTTGCACTTATATACAATACAGCGACGAAAAAATTATTAACGAAAGTTTCTGCTAATGATAAACTTCGTCAGTTTTTCATCTTTTTCAGCCATCTTAGAAAACAAGAAAGAAGCATGTCAATGTTGAGATACATATCCAAAGTCTTTTAGTCATTTCCTTTTTCGATGTCAATTAGTTTGTTCTCTCAAACAGTAGGCTGATATTGATGGTTTCCAGTCAACGGACATTCAGTAGCTTACGTAGACAATTGATTATAAATATCTGTGCCTTTCAGATGAAGGTTGTATTCATCGGCATTCGCTTGTGTGTATGGGATAGAAGTACCAGGTCATCTGTGAAGTCCAAATCGTCTAGTTGCACCCAAGCTTTCCATTGTATTCCATGCTTCCTCTCAGATAAGGAGGTCTTCATAATCCAGTTGACCACCAGAAGAAAGAGAAAGGGGGAGAGTAAGCAGTCTTGCTTGACTCCGATCCTCATTTAAAATATATTGGTCAGCTGTCCTCCCCTGCACCACTTTGCACTTGGTCCATCCTATGAATTCCGTATGATGTTGAAGATTTCCTCACGTACTCACACCATAGTGTCGGAGAAGGTTCGATAAGGTTCTTCTGTTCACACTGTCAAATGCTTTCTCACAATCAAGGAATCGGATGTATAGTGACAAATCTCATTCGATTGATTGCTTGACAATGGTCCATAGTGTTGCGATCCGGTCTGTTGGTCTCGGAGTTGGACGTCTACTGAATCTTTCATCGGTTCAGCAACACTCGGTTCAAACCTTTCCTGTTACCGATTGTAGTGTGATGCCTCTGTAGTACTTGCACTTGCTCAGATATCCTTTCTCTGTATATTGTTCTTCCTCCAAATTCATCCTGTATAAAACATGGAGCATCTTAGCGGTTACTTTTATGTTCAACTTCAGTGCTTCGGCTGGTATGTTGTCGAGTCCCGCCGCCATCTTACTCTTCATTTGTCTGATGGCCATCCTGATTTCTACCATCGTTTTACAGTGACAGGTATACGATGTTCTGTCGGTGCTGCTTCAATGTCCGGTAGATTCAATGGGGTTGATCTATTTAAGACTTCCTTCAAGTATTCTCCATCGTATGTTCCTCAGTTCTTGAATCTCAGTGACAGGCTTGCTCTCTTCGTGCTTGACTCGTCTCTCTGGTTCACTATATTTCCCTACAAGGTTCTTCGTCTTATCACATAGTTGTTTCATATTTTCTTCTCTTGCAACTTTCTTCGCTGTCATTGCTAGATCTTCCACATATTTCTGCTTGTCAGACCGAACTCTCCCCTTCATTTGCTTGATTGCGTCTCTGTATTCAGCTTGTGCATTGACTTGCTCCGTTCTTGTTCGGCTGTTTTCAATTGATGTCTTCTTCTTCTTCCTTTCTTGAATCCTGTCCAGAGTTTCCACGGAGAACCATTCCTCATGATGATGCTTCTTGTGACCCAGAACCACTTGACACGTTGTAGTTAGTGCCTCTTTCATTCCTTTCCTCCATAGTAGTTTCTTCGTCTTTGAGTAGATCTTGTAAGGCTTGAAACCTGTTGTTGAGAGCCATCTTGAATTCGTTGAGTTTGTCATTATCTCGAAAAAGTGTCTACTGACCCTTTCTTATGTTATTTGTCCATTTGCCCAGTGCTTCTTTAGCTTCAGCCTCATCCTGGCAACCACCAGCTAGCGGTGATCTTAAGCTATGTCAGCTCCTCTCCTGGTTCACACGTCTTCTATTGACCTTCTGAATCTTTAAGTGATGCAAATATGGTAGATCTGGTTCTGTGTAGTTTAACCCGATTGAACACATGTAGATTTGTGTATGCGTTTGCGTGGAAATACTGTGCCGCCTATAACCATTTTGTTGAACGCACATAAATTTGCAACTCTCTCATCATTCTCGTTCCTTTCGCCCAGTCGTTCCATGCCGTCCCATGGTATCTTCATATCCGGTGTTGTCCACTCCAACTTTGGCGTTTAGATCTCATCAGGATGGTCAGTTCCTTTCTTCAGCACTACACTATGATCAATCACAACCTCTCATAAAACTGATTTTTGTTTTCTCCATTGCTTTCATTGGTGGGTGCATAACACTAGATAACATTTACTGTGATTCCTTCCTTTTTTGTTTTAAAAGATGATTTGATGTTCCTGGATCCATCAGATTCCCTTCCTGCATGTGCTTTCCTTTCTTCTTTGGGCAACATCATAGCAATTCCCTGAGTGTACGGAGCATTCTCCCCTTCTTGCCCTGGATACGGCAGCATCTCTTACGTACATTACCTTTGCTATCTAGTTCGAGTTCAATGGGTTTCGCTGGTTTCGCCTACTTTTGTCCCTCATTCCCGTAGCTACTTGGTTGACCTTCCGGTTTCTCATATTGTCCGAACATTCCGTGCCTTCACTGTACCGGAAGGAGGACGCTGAAGTTCCCCCAAAAGTATTTTTGTTGGACAGTACTGTCATTTATTTGTTTCTTTTCCCTGTCGTGTATTTTAACCTTTGTTCAGATATCTTTTGACCACAATTTGCGTTCTTCAGTCTTCCTCTTCTGACTTATTATCATGTGACTTTGATTAAAGACAAAATGAGGTCACGAGTAGTGGCTAGTTAAATGAACACGCTACTTCGGTTTACCAAAGTTGTAGTCGTCGTGAACAAGTCATGCTTAAATCTTAGCGAAATCCATACTGATCAGTATAAAGACACCAAGGAAAGACTTGTGGCTTTGGAGAGGCACTTATCGGACCCTTTTTTTAGATTGTTATGTTGAAAGTCTTCTTGATGTGGTTGTGGCATGCGTCACAGAATGTACAAAAACTGAAAAATGTTAAAAATGAGAACTTGTTAGCATTTTTACAAAGATTTCTCAATGTAGCAGTATGTTTACAGTCATATCGTCGTAAAGCGGAAGATTTTTCATTTATCAGTTCATCAGGTCACGGCGCATTTGGTCGTGTTCAACTTGTTCGTGAAATTACAACAGGTTGTGTATGTGCTATGAAAGTAATAAACAAATCTCGAATGCTTGCACAACACACAGATTATTGGGCCGAAAAAGAAATTATGTCACATAGTGAAAGTCCGCGGATTGTAGAATTATATTATGCCTATCAAGATTTAAAAAATTTATATATGATTATGGAATATGTTCCCGGCGGTAATCTTGTCAGTCGGATGGATGAAGTGGAGTTCATGTCAGAAGCAGCTTGTCGATTCTATGCAGCTGAAACAATTCTTGCTTAAATTGGTTTACATGCAATGGGATTTATTCATCGTGATTTAAAACCGGACAATTTATTATTAGATGCTGGTGGTCATCTAAAATTAGCTGATTTTGGTACTGCTATACGTGTTGATCCGGAAACTTCATTAATTCACTGTGATGCAGCTGTTGGAACACCAGATTATTTTAGTCCAGAAGTTCTTTTATCACAGGGAATTGGTGGTGGGAGTTATGGATTCGAAGTGGATTGGTGGGCATTAGATGCTGTTATTTACGACATGCTTTATGGTGTTACACCATTCTATTCAGAAACATTGGTCAATACTTATGCTAATATTGTGAATCATGCAAATATTTTGAAATTCCCTGAAAAAGTTAATGTTTCCGATGCTTGTTTGGACTTTATAAAGACTTATCTTTTGACACCCAATTTTCTATTGCCTGTTCCCGGACTGTTGACAGTAAGGTTGCGTTTGACTAAGCTCAAGGTCACAGTGTGGTTCAGTGTGTGACTGTTAACCTTCAACTATCTGCTTGGGAGGATTACTGAAATCCCTGCAGATAGATCTCTGATCCCATCTTGTTGGGAATGTTTTTACTGGCTATCAAGTATTGAACTCCCTTGTATTTACTGTTTCTTTTGTTGTTTAGCACGCTAATTTGTGTCAGAGAAACTTTTGACTATATAGTACAGGTTGTACCGTTTGAGGTATTTTGTATTTTGATATAATTATTTCTATTTCCTAAACTAGAGTATTTTAAAATAAGCGCAGAGTTTGTGGTTTGATATAATTTAATACGAGTAACACAAAAACGCTTCGTACGCCATACAGAAAAACGTAGTCTGGTCTAATCGAATAAATTTGGGCTCATTAGTTCTGCAGTTCAGTCGTAACACTTATATTGATTTTTACCCTGGTTGTTAGAAGGGTCACCCGCCTCGTGAATCCCGACGAATCTCGGCTTCCTCCATGGGACGTCATAATTCTTCCTTCAACCACAAGGACAGATTTTAAATGATTTAATATATTTATCCTGGTTAGTGTTTTTCTTTCAAGGATGTTTTTTAATGAATGAGGATTCTGACCCCATTCTTGGTTCCCCTCATTTACTCGAGCGTTGATCGGTAGTAGCCCTAGGATAACTACAGGAAGAGTTAAATCTTAACTACAGTCAAAGAATAAACGCTGAGAGTGAGAATGATGGACGATATAAAACGTCGTTACAAGAGTCTCGGGTCAAAAGTAAGGTACAATATCGGAGGACAGAATGAAGAAATAAAAATACCGTCCAAAACACTGTAGATGTGCACCTATCAAGTAAGATATGGTAGACTTTGTTTCCAAAGAGACTAGGCTTGACATCAGTGATGTTAGAGTATGAAGGGAAAGTCAAGATTCCCCAAGGAGATCTAAGGTGTGATGGCCGTTTTCCGACGTCAAACTGGGTCCTGACCTCCATCTATTAGAACTAAAGAGAAGGACTGTCACGCCTTTAATAGTCATAAGATCCGTTGTTGACGAATCCATAAATTTTCAGATATCATCGAAGCGGAACGTTACGGATTTGACTTCACAGTATTATCATAAGTTAAGATATATTGGTTGTACACAGGTAATGGTAGCAATCAGAAAAAGGTTTTGGGTAATAATAAAGGACAAGTCATAAAAAGGTTGGTGAGGAATTATGCTTATTGCAAAAGAAAGGACGTCTGTCCTGTTCAGCGACTGATTGGACTATCACCATCGGTCATAGTGACCGACCGTTTTATCAGTTGGGGTAGATAACTTTCAACCGATCATGGTAAGGAAAGGCAGAAGTCTCGAGACTCGCTACAGATGTGTATTTACTTGTCTAGGATTGAGAGCTATGAATCAAAAGATGGTGTACAGTTTTACTGCTGACTAGTTCATCAAAACGCTGGTGAGGTTTTATGGCAGCGGAAACTGTTTAAGATAGATATGTAGTGCTAATGGATAAAAGTTGGTCGGAACTGAACGTTATTTAGGGAGATGTTCTTGGGGTTGGATATAAAAGCACATACATACTGACTTGCTCAAAGAAGTCATTGGCTGGCATTTCAGTCTCGCTGCTGATAATCACTGAAGAGGAGTCTAAGAACTCAAAATTCACTCTGTTTGTAGGGTAATTAGTACCTTAGTTTATGAACAGACTTTAGCAGATGATTACCTTGAAACATTCATGCCAGAGCCCGAATGTATTGATAACAGTCTACCCCTGGTTAATATTACAGATGACACGAATGATCTCGAGGGTATAAAAACAACTATGCTGTGTGACGGGATAACTGTAGACATTTGGTTGATTTAAAACTTTTTCTTGTATATTAATAATTTTACTGTGTTTTTGCGTGTATTTGTTTTAATTAACTTTTGAAATTGTTTGTTTATATCATTAATTTCGGAAATTTTGGTTTCTTTTTGTCATTGGTTTGGTATTTTGGAGTTTTTGCTCCGGGAACCTACAAAATTGAAGGTTTGTTTTGTAATTGTCATAATTATTGTTGTTAGAACGACATTTGGGTCGACTATTTGTAAATCGCGAATAAACTTTGATATATAAATTGGAGTTTAGTTCTATTGTTAATTTGGGTTCGCTAATTGAAAATAGATCTATATACCGTACTTCCATAACGGGAACGAGCAAAAACTTCGACGTAACGTGCTGTAACTAAGACTGGACTTATCCTACCTACCAATAATTGCATAATATGGTTTATATGGATAATTTGGGACCAACACAGCTAGCTCTGAATAAAATCTCTCCATGAACTCAGCTTCCTTTTGAATACATGCAGGCTGATAGTTTTCGCAAACATGTTTCAGTTTTTAACAGTTCGCTGCAAAAGTAATCAAATTCGTAACCATTTTGCATAAAGCTTTGAAGTGCTGTTTGGAAATCCACGGAACAAACTAAATAAATCACAAATCCTCAATTAAACTAACAGTCACAATCCTGAAGTACGATCAAAGAAATAGGCTTCATGCAGTTGCTCTTGCACCACCTAAAACGTGGGGGGGCTACCCACCTGATAGCCACCATCTTGACAACTAATCTTTCTTGATGACTTAACTATAACGTTTAGTATAATGCAGATTGTCATCAAAATTGATACCATCATTGCGCATTGCAAGTTGCCGGACAACCGCTCGTTAATAGATTAAACTATACATCAAGACATCTAGAGAATTATGGTCTAGTTTGTTATAGGTACTGCCTTAATACTAGAAATAATCCTAAAATTGTATATTTGCCATGATGTGACCATAATAATACTTTATTCTCAAGTAACATTTTGTTACATGAGGCATACTAGTTTACAGGCAAGATCAACCTGTTACGAAAGGTACAATGTTCAATGTAACAAATTACTCAGCTAGGTTGATACTTTATGAGATATGAATTTAGATGGTTTCTGTAAGAATCGTATTGTCAATATCACAGTCGGCGAGCTTTATGAAGGCTGCATTGCGACGTGCAACTGATGGTCCAGAATAGACCTTTGTGAAGCCGGGGGCTTCTGGAAACCTCAACCTTATATCCTTTTGGAAGATCTGAGGCTTTACTGATGGTTTAGGACGAAGTCACCCGTTCCATATGTGTTTTCGGCGGCATATCTCAAGGGGGCTGAAGAAGGGTGTAAGGAAAAGAAACGACGAGAAGCAGAGAAATAGTTAAGATATGACTACTCAGTCTAATTCTCTTTTATTAAGGTAGTTATTAAGCAAGAGCATTCTAATATGTCAAAGAAAATAGGTGTAAACAAGGTATGAGTGGATAAAGAACTGCACAAATAAAGGTAGTTCAGAAAGAAGCTGAAAATATGGGATTGTGTGTACTTGTAGAATTATGGTCTACTATGATATTAGTACTGCTCTAACAATAGACCTAATCCTAAAATTGTAGATTTGTCATGATATAACTGCCTAATCTATAAGATCTTACGTGGAAGTCACATCATCGACTACACCAACTCACCGTATCGTAACAACTACCAATACATGATGAAGAACAAGCTTAGGCTAGAGAAAGAACAATATATTTAATATGAATAGGAGATATAAGATAACATCCAGCAGGGACCACGCCTGCATGGCCGAGCCATGCCACTCGATCAACTCCAGTCCATTCAATTCCTTGTCCGCGCCTTCTCCATTGTTAGGTATTTCCCCGAGTTAAATATTGAATATCTATTTTCTGAGTAGTCGCGTGTTCACAGCTTTGTGGATTGTGGCTATTTTCCAATGCCACTACATACTTATAAAATCTAGTGCTGAAAACAATATTCTGATACACAAATGGCTGTCTCCTTTTTTGTCAAAGCTATTTGAGCCCATCTGTTTTGTAGATTATATAGGAGCTTGAGCAGGCTTTGTTTCTAGCGAATTGTCTAGTTTGCTTGTAATAGGATTATTCGGTAGGAAGTGAAACCAGTTCAACGTCACAAACACGATTTAATGAGGTATTTTTATGTAATAAATCAGCATCAATACCATTAGTCCGTGACATCCCAAGTGATCGTTAGGATCCGTAATTCGACAAAATGTTCTGCCCTACACACATGGGTGGAATGAATTTAACTCCCTGCCATCATGTTTGCTGGTCAGTAAGGCCACCCTCCTTCCTTTTGTGATGTTAGGCTCTTTTACGTTTGTGGTATGTGTGAATTCTGCTTCAATCAAAGCCCATAGTTAGAATGCACTGTCTCTACTAGTTCCGTATTACGAGCAAATCAGATAGTTAAAGCATTTGTATTATGGGCTAGATGTCCATTTAGTATATCACACTGCTATGAATATAACTTATTGTAGAATTTTAAAGAACACAGATTAGATCATATGTGGTTTAAAGATGCTGAGGACTGATGGTAGATCAAAGGATATGAAAGATTATAAGATTGTAAACTTTTCAGGGTAAGAAAAAAACATTGAGCAAGTCACAACGATTTAGGACATTTTGAGCTGCTTATGATCGGCCTTAGTTGATCAGCCTTCATTTCATTCTAAACATATTTTATTCTCAAAGTTACACTTAAACAAATTAACTTCTCGAATTCATTTCATTTTCACCACACACATATATTTGCTTATCCTTTGTAATTAATTGTGACTTTCACAGCACCATTTTAAATTATTATTGCACAAAAGTTTACACTAATATCAAGTTTTACTCTATATACCATTACATAAGTCTACATGCGTTTATCCGAGTTCATTAAAGATTTTTTCCAAATTGTTGGTTTACTTCAGAGTTCGATATTCATTACACTATTATTATTAACTATGCCTTGCGTCCCTCCGGGAGCTACTGCCGGACCCAAGCCCGGATAAAAGAGGAGGGTTGGGCATGGGGT